GCCAAGATTGCGCCATTGCACTCCAGCCTGGCCACAGAGCAAGACTCCATCTCAGAAAAAAGAAAAGGAATAAAAAGTTCAAGCATGCCTGCTTTTTTCACCCTGGGTGAATGCTGTTCCACTTTGGTCTCTCTAAATTTCAAAGAGAACCTGAAGCAGCCTAGCTTATGTACAAGGAAAACACACACTTACATGTAGGTTGCCTACGATGGAGTGATGAATGAGGAGTTTTAGCACATATCATTGGTTTACTCACGATGATTTTCTTAAGGTGCTAGAAGTATTTTTGACTTGACTCCATTCATCAGCCTTAATATTTTTGTACAAGAGTCAGTCTTCTCATGGGTACAGGCATTGATTAGGAAACCAGACTGTGGCATCTTACTTCCAGTGAGCCTGGGCTCCTGGTAGTGGTCCTGTTCCAGTCATGCTGTGATAGTGACTGCCTTTCCCGCACCCATAAACTGAAATTTATGAAGTGCTTTCAAATACATTATTCAATTTATTCTCACAGCAACCTTTTGAAGTTAGTACTTCTTATCCCCATTTTACAGACGAAGAAACTGAGGTGCATGATGGTTGACACTTAGGCAAGGATGTGTTAGTATTACTAAGTGGAGGGCTTGGGATGCAGGCCCCAGACCTCCGTGTTTCCCTGTTAGCTCCCTCTGCCTCTGCCATCCCCTCTAACATGACCCACTGTGGGGACACCATGGCTCAGCCCCACTAAATGTCTCACTGTGGGTACATTACAGCATAAATCAAGGCAGAAAAGGACGACTGTCAAGGTGCAAACAGCTCTCATTGGCTTTCCCCAATCTCCTTTCCCCCTTTTAAGTCATAGGAAAGGAAATGAAAATTAAGAGTAAATTAATATAATAAAAGAGATTAAAGTACAGATATTATGAAATTGGAAGGTGCTGACAGCAGTCCCTTGGGTGTCTGCCTCTTGAGTTAAACTGGACAGTACTGCATATACCAGATGCCCCTTCCTCTCCTATGGGCCCAGATGGGTGATACCACTGCTAGCAGTCAAGTCATTTAAGAACGTTTTTGTACCATTCAGCATAAAAGCCTCCTTATGGAATACAGCTTTTGCTGTACAGATCAATCTCATTTTCTGCTTCATCATTGCTGTTTTTGCTTATAGGAGCGCCAGCTTTATGTCTTTTTCATGGACTTTTCAATATAGGAGCTAACATTCATTGTGGCCAGCGTTATACTAGACATTTAACAGCCTCATAACAGTCTCATTTACTAATCATAACAGCCACAGGAGGATGGGTCATTACCCCCATAGCACAGAAGGGGCCATGAGTACACAAGATTGACTTGCTCAGAGTCTGCTGGCCAGAAGCAGAGCTGTCACAGAGTCTGCGCCGTTCACAACTGTTAACCTAAAATACTAAGGTTTCCCCAAGAAACACGCCTTGCCATGCCTCCCTACGCTTTCAGTGTTTGGGATGATTTTGTTTTGTTTTGTTTTGTTTGATTTGGTGTTGAGTATTTCCAAGTTCGATTTTGCGCGTCTGTATCAATGAAAGGTAATTTGATGTCGATAAAAAGAAAAAGCAGGAGAAGTCAGAGAATGATCCACTAAGGTCCTAGCACTGTTCTGCGAGGAGGATGCGCTTGCTAAGATATGTCAAGGCATATAAGGTCTTCTATATTCAGTGGCATTAGATGGTTTTTTAAGTGTTTAGCATTCTCTCTGCTCCTTTTTGAATCATACAAATAACCATAATCATTGCTTACATCTCTCCTCTGGATTCTTGGCTCTCAAATGGTTTGCACCATATACTTGACAGATAACACTACTGTTTTTTAATAGAGCTCTGGGCTTCATTTGCTTATGTACTTACAAGCAGATTTTACACAGATTTCAATGCACATAGAGGCCAATGAATCATGCATATTAGTTGGGCCATGGGAAAGGATATCTTATTCAGATACAGAGTTTGCTTATGAAACTGAGATTTTTCTCAGTTACTGGAAATGATTCTCTGTGTTTTATCGAACTCTCAGAAAACACGACCGCTTCACTATTCCATTATACGGAAGCTAGCCATTTTCACCTAAACCTAACAGCCCTCCTACTTTCTGAGGACAAGAGTTATAATTTGAGTGTTTGTTTTGCTTTTCAAAAGTTATTTCTTTTTTTTTTTCTGTGAGATGAAGTCTCGCTCTGTCGCCAGGCTGGAGTACAGGGACGCGATCCTGGCTCACCGCAACCTCCGCCTCCCGGATTCAAGCAATTCTCCTGCCTCAACCTCCTGAGTAGCTGGGACTACAGCCACGTGCCACCACACCCAGCTAATTTTTTTATTTTTAGTAGAGACAGGGTTTCATCATGTTGGTCAGGATGGTCTCGATCTCTTGATCTTGTGATCCGCCCGCCTTGGCCTCCCAAAGTGCTGAGATTACAGGCGTGAGCCACCACGCCCGGCAGTATTTCATTGTTACACAGATTATTTTAGCTATTAGTCAGCAAATGTAAATATTCTTACCCTGTTTTCTAGGACTTTCTATTTTTTTATAGCTGATACATCTTGGTGTGCTCTTATGCTTTAATGCTTCTGTAAAAATTTGTTCAAAATGCTTATAAGTTGCCAAACTTAGGATACTTTTTACCTGAATTTAGACAATGTATTGCTTGTCTAAATTCTGCTACTTATTTTTCTAACCTTTAGAGACCTAAGATAGCAGTTCTCAAAGTGTGGCCCAGGGACCTCTGGAAGTCTCCCAAGATCTTTGAATTCATGCAGTCATTTTTTTGTTGTTGTTGTTACTATTTTCATAATAACACTAATATTTATTTTTCTCACTTTCATTCTCTTCTGAGTATACTGTGAAGTCTTCTAGAGGCCATGTGGCATGTGTATTTCTGTAGTCTTTTGTTTAAAAATGTTCTCAGTTTTGATTTCTAATATGGTAAGTGTGGATATATGCATAGCCCACATAAGCAAAGCTCTTTGGAGGTACTCAATCATTATTAATAGTGCAGGCCAGGAGCAGTGGCCCATGCCTGTCATCCCAGCACTTTGAGAGACTGAGGCGGGCGGATCACAAGGTCAGGAGATTGAGACCATCCTGGATAACACGATAAAACCCCGTCTCTACTAAAAATACAAAAAATTAGCTGGGTGTGGTGGCACGTGCCTGTAATCCCAGCTACTTGGGAAGCTGAGGCAGGATCAAATCACTTGAACCCAGGAGGCAGAGGTTGCAGTGAGCTGAGATCGTACCACTGCACTCCAGCCTGGGTGACAGAGTGAGACTCTTTCTAAAAAAAAAAAAAAAAAAAAAAGGAGTGTAAAAGGGTCCCAAGACCGAAATATTTGAAAACTGCTGCTTTAAGGGTATCTGCTGGGCAGTTCCTTTAGTGGTTTCACAGTTGGATATTTAATGAATGAGAATTGTGCTCCAGAAGAATGTTTTGCTCTAGAAGGAAGTTGGGAAATGTTTTCTTCATTTCTGAATGTTCTCTATTAACAGATATCATATATCCTGTGGCTCTCATTAATTCATCTAATTGCTTGATATTGTTGATTGTTACTGAACTAGTAACAAAAGAAAAAAAATTCTGATATTGAGAAAGGCTATTTGAAATTTATCAAGCTAAGTCTGCCTCATAGCAGAAACTAATTTTTTTAATGACTACGATATATATTTTATATGGTTTTGGTTTTCCCACTAGCATTTAGAAGTGCTTATTTATTTCCAGTGGAGATCTGGATGTTTCTGACTCATTGGTTTTGAGAGCTACAGAAAGACTAAAGGTATGCGTTGCCTGTTAAATGTGAAGGACTTAAATTCTCTAAATTTATATTATTAAATGGTATTTTAGCTGCAGTGCTTTCGAGATGACATAAATCATAATAGAATGGCCTATAGTAAATATTCAGCTGAGGACTGTTGGTCTATAAATATAGAGCATGCACCTCCCATTCCCCTTTCCCCTAACTAATCGATAATCAGCACCGTGTGTCACTGAAGCTTAGAAACCTCAGCACAGCTAATAGTTGATGAGAGCTGGCACTCAAGAGAAAACCTATTTTCCTTGGCCTGGTGTGGTGGCTCACGCCTGTAATCCCAGCACTTTGGGAGGCTGAGGAGGGCAGATCACCTGAGGTCAGGCATTAGAGACCAGCCTGGCCAATGTGGTGAAACCCTGTCTCTACTAAAAGTACAAAATTAGCCGGGTGTGGTGGCAGGTGCCTGTAATCCCAGTTACTCAGGAGGCTGAGGCAGGAGAATCGCTTGAACCCAGGAGGTGGAGGTTGCAGTGAACCGAGATCGCACCATTGCACTCCAGCCTGGGCAACAAAAGTGAGACTCCATCTCAAAAAAAAGCCCTGGTTTCCCCCTTGGGCTTCTACCTGGGGGCATGCAGGAATTATAATGACCTAATTCTACAGGAAGTTTTTCATTTAAAAAAATTTCTTAAGAGTGGAACTGCTAGATTATATAAAAATTTTAAAAATATTTAGAAATCATTTAGGGCAGAAAAAGTAGAGTAGCAAAATGTATATACAGATTATTCATCTCTTAAAATGTATCTAGTATTTCTCCAAGGGGGAAAAAAATCAGGTTTACAGAAAAAAATAAACCTGTATTTCTCAGTTTAAAATTGTTTGTTGGGCTTTCTGACTTTTAGTCTCAATTCTCCCGGCCTCTGAACAGTTCTGGAGAGCAAAGTGATGTCAGGGGCTTTTATGAGGACAACAGTTGAACAAATTCAAATGGGGACCTGTCCTGACTTTTAGATTTTTTATTCCTATGGCTTAATTTTTTAAACTGTAAAGCCCTGGAGTAGTGATAAAACACCTACCCTGATCACCTTTACCCAGAAGGTGTGGCAGGAGAGGCCAGGCCGTGTCCCTGGCAGCCATTTGCCGTTAGACGAGATAGACGCTTTCAGGGTGGTATGGCCGTAAACCCGTTTGCCTTTAGAAAATACTTGGCTATGAACGATGCTTGCCTTCCCATCCCAGCCTGATATGATTTACTCCCGTATCATTTTTGTTCAAGAGAACAAAATCACCACACGCTTTTAATGGGCTATTGAATCACAAAACAAGTTGCTCAGTTGTGTTTTCAAAATGTCAGACTTGGCAGTTTTAAAGCATCCCTCAGAAACCATGAGGGATTGGTTCTAGGACCCCTCAGATACCAGAATCCTTGGGCGCTCAAGTCCCTTATGTAAGATGGCAGAGCATTGTGTATTTGCATATAATGTATGCACATCCTCCTGTATACCTTATTTTATTTATTTATTTATTTATTTTTGAGATGGAATCTCGCCCTGTCTCCCAGGCCGGAGTGCGGTGGTGTGATCTTGGCTCACTGCAGCCTCCGCCTCCCAGGTTCAAACGATTCTCCTGCCTCAGCCTCCTGAGTAGCTGGGATTACACTTGCCTGTCACCATGGCTGGCTAATTTTTACATTTTTGGTAGAGACAGGGTTTCACCATGTTGGCCAAGCTGGTCTCGAACTTCTGACCTCAAATGATCCACCAGCGTCAGCCTCCCAAAGTTCTGGGATTACAGGCATGAGCCACCACGCCCTCGTTTCCTGTATACTTTAAATCATCTCTGCATTACTTATAAGGCCAAATACAATCTAAATGCTATGTAAGGAGTTGTTACACTGCATTTTTAAGAAATGACAAGAAAAAAAGTCTGTACACGATCGGCACAGATACAACTCTCCAGTTTTTTTTCCCCTAATATTTTTCACCTAAGGTTGGTTGAACCCACAGATACACAACCAGTGGATATGGAGGGCTGCCTGTACTCCAGAAGTCATGCTAAGATGGCTGCATCCCATCTTGTAGACTGTTAACATTGTTGGCATTGGTATATGCATTGGTATATTTTGGGTATTGGCATACATCATGAGCTTGTAGTGTTCCCTTTGATTTTTGTTTGGGTCATGGCCAATACTGACCAAAGACTTGCCACACAGATAAGAAGATACAACACATTGTCTGTCTCGCCTATATTTTAACCCAGCTCTCCTTAAACCTTAATGTGTGTACAAATCGCGAGGGAATCTTGTCAAGTTGCAGATTCGGATTCATTAGCTCTGGGGCAGGGCCGGGCTCTGCAGCTCCAACAGGCTCCTGCATGCTGCTCATTCTGCCGGTCTGCAGACCACACGTTGAGCGCAAAGTCGTTTCACTCGTCTTCTACCTGAACTTCTGGATTTGTTTTGTTTTCCCTCCAACAAGGTTACAAAGACTTCAGGTTTGAGACCAATGGAACCAAAAGATATCAAATCAGTTCGAGAATTAATCAACACTTACCTGAAGCAGTTTCATCTGGCTCCAGTGATGGATGAAGAGGAAGTGGCCCACTGGTTCCTCCCCCGGGAGCACATCATTGACACGTTTGTAGTGGAGGTAAAGACAAGGTGATAAACATAAAGTTTCTCCTTGGAGCACCCTTTGTGTTCAGTGCGCAGCAGAAGTATTTACACACACTTCCTTCCATTTCATCACAGAACATTACAAAGATGCATACTAAAGGGTTGAGAGTTAATAAGATGAAGAATTCTTCATACTCTATCAAGGACATGCTTAAGTGAAACTGACATTTGTTGAACCCTGAGGGTGTGGTGTTGAGGAATATGGTGACCACATGTGTGGTCTGGTGCCATTGTCTTGTTTTGTGCTAAGGCACCAGCAGTTTTACCCACAGCACTGCTTTTGCACTGTTGGTGCTGATGGTAACATATCAACAAGGCAAACAGCTTCTTAGTGTTATGAAAATAATTTTGACCTCACAGATTTCTGAAAGGGTCTCAGGTACCCACAGGGTTCACAGACCACATTTTGAGAACTGCTCTCCAGGGCATATAATTAGAGTGTGGTCGGACCCACCTTTCACATTATTAGAAATTGCCAAATAACTCACCACAATAAGGTTCTGAGCAGTGTAAGAGAGTTCCTGTTTCCTCACATCCTCACAAGACGTGGGTATGGTCAGATTTTAAATTTAGGCCCACCCGATGAGTATGGAACAGTATCTTGTTGTTAATGTATATCCTCATTATTGATGAATTTGAGTATCTCATAACTATGTTAGCCATGTTTATTTCTTTTATGAATTTGCTATTTACATCGCTTGCCTGTTTTTTCTTTTTGACCGTAGTCGTCTTACTGATTTATGAAATTTTGTTTTGTTTTGTTTTGTTTTGTTTTTTGAGATGCAGTTTTGCACTTGTTGCCCAGGCCAGAGTGCAATGGCGCAATCTCGGCTCGCTGCAACCTCTGCCTCCCAGGTTCAAGCGATTCTCCTGCCTCAGCCTTCCGAGTAGCTGGGATTACAGGCGTGTGCCACCATGCCCAGCTAATTTTTGTATTGTTAGTAGAGTTGGGGTTTCACCATGTTGGTCAGGCTGGTCTCAAACTCCTGACCTCAGGTAATCCGCCCGCCTTGGCCTCCCAAAGTGCTGGAATTATAGGTGTGAGCCATCGCACTCAGCCTGTGAAAGGTTTTTTATATGCTGAATACTAACACTTTGTATTGTGTTCCTTTCTGGGTCCTCTATTCTATTTCATTGATCTCCATGTCTGTCCCTTCACTAATACCACACTGACCTGGTTGCCATAGCTACATAGGAAGCCTTAGTATCAGGTAGAGTAATTCCTCCCACTTTATTCTTGTCTGTCAAGATCATTTTAATTAACCTATTTCCTTTGCCTTTTGCATATACATTTTAGAATAAGCTTATTTTTGTCTACAGAATACCTTGCTGGCACTTTGATAGGGATTACATTACACTGATGGATTAATTTGAGCATAATTGAAAAGTCTTCCAATCCATGAACATGAAATGTCTCTACATTTATTTCAGTCTTTTAAAATCTCTTTTATCAGCATTCTCTAAGAGCACCCAGATCCTGTACATGTTTTCTTAAGTGTATAGCTAGATATTTCACTTCCTTTGGAGCGATTATGATGGTGTTATGTTTTTAATTTCAATTTCTGCATGTTCATCGTTAGCCTGTAGAAATGCTTTCTTCTGTGTGTTTGTGTCCTACCACAGTGCTGAAATCACTTACTGGTTCCAGGAGTTTGTGTGTAGATTCCTTGGGATTTCTGCATAGATAACGTGTCATCTGCAAATAGGGACAGTTTTATTGCTTCCTTTCTAATCTCGATGCCTTTATTTTTGGTCTTGCATTAATGCAGGACCTAGATCTTCCAGTGCTTTATTGAGAAAGAGTGGGGAAGGTTGACGTCCTCGTCGTGTTCTTGATGGTGGGGGAAAAGCATTTACTCTTTCACCATGAAGTACGATGTTAGCTGTAGGTTTTTTTGTGGGTGCTCCTAATCAATTTGAGGTCATTCTCCTCTATTTCTAACTTACTTAGAGTTCTTCTGAATGGGCATTGGATTTTGTCCTATGCTATTTCTGCCTCAATAGATGTAATCATATGATTTTTCTCCTTTAATCTGTTGATATGGCAGATTACATTGATTTTCAAATGTTGAATCACTTACATTCCTAGAAAATATCCCAATTGGTCACGGTGTATAATTATTTTTACACATTGTTGTATTGATTGCTAATATTTTGCTGAGTATTTGTTGAGTTCATGAGAGATATCTCTCTGGAGTGTCTTTTTTATAATGTCTGTCTGGTTTAGATATCAAGATAATAGTGGTCTCATAATAGGAGTTGGAAAGTATTATTTCCTCTTCTATTTTCTGGAAGAAATTGAGAATTGGTGTTAATTCTTTAAATGTTTGGTAGAATTCTCCGGTTGAAATTATCTGAGCTTAGCTATTTCTTTTTTGGGAGTTTTTAAATAATGGACTAAATGTCTTTAATGGTTATAGCACCATTCAGATGATCTGTTTCATCTTGGTTGAGTTTTAATAGTTTTTGAGGAGTTTGTCCATTTCTTCTAAATTGTTGAATGTATGAGCGTAAAGTTGTTCATTGTATTCCCTTGTTATCCTTTTAGTGGCTGCGGGATCTGTACTGATATCTCTTGTTTCATCCCAGATATTGGTGATTCATGTCTTCTCTTTCTTTATTTTTGTCCATCTTGCTAGACTTTTATCACTCTATTGATTTATTTCCCAGAGAACTAGACTTTTGTTGGATATTCCCTGTTGTTTTCATATATTCAGTGTCATTGATTTCTACCCTTATGTTTACTTTTTCCTTCCTTCTGCTTGCTTTGGGTTTATTTTGCTCTTCTTTTCTAGTTCCTTGAGGGAGGGACTTACTGACTTGAGACCTTTCCCTGTTACTAGTAAGCATTTAGTTCTATCAGTTGCCCTCTTTGCACTGCTTTAGCTATTTCTGACATATTTTGATATGCTGTATCTTCGTTGTCATTCACTTCTATGTATTTTTTGGTTTCCTTTGAAACTTCATCTTTAGTCCACCCCTACTTAAAATTGTGCTATTCAATTTTGCCGTGTTTAGAGATTTTCTGTTGTCTCCCTATTACGGATTTCTAGTTTGATTCAAGTACAGTTAAAGAACACACACTGTATGGTTTTGATTATTTTAAGGCTCTTGAGGTTCGTTTTATTACTCGGGATATGGACTTTCTTGATGAATACTCCATGGGTGCATGAAATGTGTATACCACTACTGTTGGGTTGAGTGTTCTTTGTATGCCAATTGGATCATGTTGATTAATTGAGTTATTCAGCTGTTCTGTTTCCATGCTGATTTTCTGTCTAGCAGTTCTATCACTTGATGAGAGGGGCATGGAAGTCCCCAACTATAATTGTGGATTTGTCTGTTTCTCCTTCCAACACTGTCGGTTTTTTTTGATGTCTTTTGGGGCTCTTGTTTGATACTCACATGTATATTTAGGGTCTTTATGTCCCGCTAGTGGATTGATCTTTGTACCATAATGTAATACCTCTCTTTGTAATAATTTTCCTTGCTCCAGAGTATACTTGATCGTATATTACTATGACCAGACCTGCTTTTTAAAAATTGTTTGGTCTTTTTCCATCCTTTTACTTTCCAACTATTGATGTTATTGAATTTGAAGTGAGTTTTTGGAAACAGCCTATAGCTGGGTCATGTTTCTTTGCCCACGCTACCGACCTTTCTTTTGATTGGTGTATTTAGACCACTTATATATAAGGTGGTTATTGGTATGTTAGAGCTTAAGTCTGCCATTTGATTATTTGGTTTCTTTCTTTTTCTTCTGGTTCTTGTATCTCTGTTTCTTTTTTCTTGCCTTGTTGTGGGTTACTTGAATATATTTTAGGATTCTGTTTTGTTTATAGTGCATTTGGGTATATTTGCATAGTTTTTATGATGGTTGATATGAGTATTACTATATATATATATGTGACTTATAGTCTATTGGTAACAACATTTATTACTTTGAGTCACCTTTTATTTAGGTCACTTTATCTTTTCCACCTTAAAATATTGTCTTAAATATCAGATAGTATTATGATTTTTGTTTTAATCATCAAGTATGATTTGTAACACTGATTTATAGTGATGCTTGAGGATAAGCATCATTAAGCAAATTTCTGCTCTTTCTGTTATTCTTCCCTCCTTCCTGATGCTTCAGTATTCCTTCTTTTATCATTTCCTTTCTATTTGAAGAAATTCCTTTAGCCAGTCTCAGGTATGTCTGCTAGTGACACATTCTTTTGGTTTCCATTTGTGCGAGACTACCTCTGTTTTTAGATTTAGTTTCCCAATTTAAAAAAAAATTTTTTTTGGAGACAGAGTCTTGCTCTGTCACCCAGGCTGGAGTGCAATGGCACAATCTCTGCTCACTGCAACCTCCGCCTCTTGGGTTCAAGCAATTCTTGTGCCTCAGCCTCCCGAGTAGCTGGAACTACAGGCGCATGCCACCGCACCCTGCTAATTTTTTGTATTTCAGTAGAGACTGGATTTCACCATGTTGTCCAGGCTGGTCTCGAACTTCTGAGCTCAGAAAATCCATCCGCCTCAGCCTCCCAAAGTGCTGAGATTACAGGTGTGAGTCACCATGCCCAGCCCTAGTTTGCTAATATTTTACTTAGGATCTTCTTCCATACTCACTACTACTGCGGTTGGCCATTAATTTCCTCTTCTTACTCTGTCCTTGTCCTATTTTGATAGTAAAGTTAGAATGAGTTGAAGAGCTTGTCCTCTCTTTTCTCTGGAACAGTGTATGTAATGTAGGGATTACTTGTTCCTTGAAAGTTGTTAGAAGTTGCTTATAAGCAAGCTAGACATGGTGCCATGGTGGGTTTTGTTGTGAGCATTTTTTTGTTTTTGTTTTTGTTTTTGTTTTTAATCAGTCTTTACAGTTGATTGGGTGTGAGGGACAATGGACAGATTGTCCCATTCTTCCCCAACAGTTGGTGATTCTCAGGTCATTTTAACAGCAAGAGAGGAAAGAGTAATTTTACCAGCAATCTGAATGTGAAGAAGTAGTTTTCTGAAAGCAGATGATGAAAATGGGGTGGGGAACCTAATCAGGTTCTGCAGGTGCCTGCAGTAATTCGGTGTATGAGACAGATATGAGAAATTCTTAGAAGAATCTAAAATCCTTATGAAACCTGAAGGTTGAATTCATCTCCAGTACTAAGCTGCTAATACAGAGCAGTAGGGAATCACTGTAGATGAACCCCTTTAGCTTCTTGCTGGCTGAGGAAAGGTCTGATGACTCAGAAGCATTTGAAAACCAGAGCATACATCCTTCTGGAATTCCCTTTTCTGCTGAAAGAAATACTAGCAATGGCATGTATGTGGCCCAGCCTCCTCAGCCACACAATTCAAACACATCATATTCTAAAAGTCAGCAAGGCCACCACAGCTAATTACAACAACCTGAACAATACTGGCTAATTTCTTGTATTGGAAGGTTTGCCAATGATGATGAAATGAATGTCATCCATTGTATCCCTTATTTTTGATAGCTGCAAAATTCTCCTGTTATTCACATGTGTATATTTCGGTGCAGTAGTAAGACCTTTCACAAGCTTGCAAACTCTTCCAGACAGCTTCCGGACTCTACCCAATGGTACCTAGGCCTGATACAGTTATTTCCTTGTGCTAAGAAAGTGTGAGATGGTACACAGTATCTTTTAGTTGGAGAGGCAACCCTCCAATCCTTAAAGCTTTTATTTCTGCAAAAACAACTGCTTTTATCACTGTTCCCTGAGTCTAAAGAATTGACTCATTTGTCAGCCTGAGGGAAGCTTTCCTTTAGAACATTCTGCTTCTATCTTTCTTTCCTTTTCTTTTTTTTTTGAGACGAGTCTGGCTGTGTTGCCCAGGCTGGAGTGCAGTGGCAGGATCTCGGCTCACTGCAAGCTCTGCCTCCCAGATTCACACCATTCGCCTGCCTCAGCCTCCCAAGTAGCTGGGACTACAGGCGCCGGCCACCACGCCCGGCTAATTTTTTTGTATTTTTAGTAGAGATGGGGTTTCACTATGTTAGCCAGGATGGTCTCAATCTCCTGACCTTGTGATCCGCCCACCTCGGCTTCCCAGAGTTCTGGGATTACAGGTGTGAGCCACCGTGCCTGGCCTCTATTTTTTTTTTTTTGAGATGGAGTTTCGCTCTTGTTGCCCAGGCTGGAGTGCAATGGCACAATCTCGGCTCACTGCAATCTCCGCCTCCCGGGTACAAGCGAGTCTCCTGACTCAGCCTCCCAAGTAGCTAGGATTACAGGGGCGTGCCACCACGCCTGGCTGAGTTTTTGTATCTTTAGTAGAAATGGGGTTTCAACATGTTGGTCAGGCTGGTCTCGAACTCCTGACCTTATGATCTGCCCGCCTCAGCCTCCCAAAGTGCTGGGATTACAGGCATGACATTCTGCTTCCTAAGAACTTTGTGCAAATCACCAACGGGCACTTAGGCTGAAGTCCCAACTCCAGGCTCTTTTTGGCCTCTACACAGCATAATATAAGGGGCCCCAAATTGGACTGCTGAGAAAGAAGTATGACTTACTGCTTTTCCTTCTGTGGGGCAAGGGAGAGATCAGAGTTAGCGGAAATGCACGTATGCAGTTGGTTCAAGGAGATCTCTGCCTGACAGCACCTTTGCTCCTAGAGCCCCAACGGTAAACTGACTGACTTCCTGAGCTTCTATACGCTCCCCTCCACGGTGATGCACCACCCTGCTCACAAGAGCCTCAAAGCCGCCTACTCATTCTACAACATCCACACAGAGACGCCCCTACTGGACCTCATGAGCGACGCGCTCATCCTCGCCAAATCGGTAAGCCACTCCCTGTTCATGCCGTTTGGTTCTCCAAATGTCTGTGCCAAACTATAGAAGACATCGTGTTTTCTTCCACACAGGTGGAATTTATGCAAGATTTTTTTTTTTTTTTTTGGAGACAGAGTCTTGCTCTGTCACCC